AATAGGGCAGCGTTTGCAGGCACAAGGGCTGTTCGACCTTGATCTGGGAGAGTTTTTTCTCTGACGTGTTTTGAATTCTTGCTCCTGCTCTCCAAGGCCCTGGGAGGCTCACAGACTGCTTGCAGGCAGCCCAGAAGCTGGCAGGTGTTTTCCCCACTGCTCTCTTTAGCAAATAACTTTGCTACCAGGGCTGCTGGGAAGATGTGCACGTCTTGTTCTCTTCAGTTGCAGGATCTATTGCCAGCTATGTGGTAACCAGAGCTGAGACACAGAAATGCTCTGACTTCTGGATTTTTCTGGAGACAGGCAAGTCCCCACAGGACCATGCCATAGCTGACAGGATGTCTCAGCCCCCAGGTATCTTTCACATCTCTCTCTGCTGCTTTCCCTAGGCTTCTGCCTGTTTCTTTTCTGCTACAAGTCTTTGCTGTCCTGTGTCTTAACTAAGCTGGTGACTGTTCCAGACTTTGCCAGAACCCCTATGTAAATTCTGTGCTGGCACCCTGCAGCTGAGGGACATATTTTTGTGCAAACGGAGAAGTCCTCTGGGGTAGCAGGAGCATTAGGGCAGCCAGAGCTCCCTTCCCAGTCCTGCTGCTCTTGTGTCTCTCAGTGCTCTGGGCCTGTCGCCTGCTGTGCGGGTACCTGAACAGGGCTGGGTGGCATCTGCGATGGGTGCTCACATCTGCTTTCTGGCCTGCCCCTGCGTGGGTGAATTCATCGAAACCAACGTGAAGCGATTTTGGTTTACTGGAGGGGGAAGAGGAGGGCAGGGGATGGAGCGACCTGTCCACATTAATGCTTGAGTCAGGCTGCTCAGCATGGAGGGCAGAGCGGGTGGGGATGCTAGGACAGGCATGTTCCCATAGTTGCCTGCTGCTTTCTCCTCTGGGTGTTGTGAGCTATCAGGGCTGGGCTAAACTGAAGAAGCTTTAAACTTCCCTAAGGCCTTGTAGTTCTCTACCCACCCCTGGAAAATGCAGGAGTATAGTTTGGGGTCCAAGGAGCTTGTTCTTGTCTGTTGCAGAAAATCTGCCCAGCCCAGAGGGCAGAGAAACTGTGGCACCGCCAGTGAGGAGGAACAAGTATGGAGATGTTGTGGAGTAGCCAGTGGAGCATGCAGTACCACGCCTGTGTCTTGCTGCAGCTTTGTCTTCATCTCTTCCCACCTGCACAGCCTGCCACTGCCTGTGAGACTGGTGGGGGTTGTAGTACTGCCCCCATGAGTTCAGATGAGTCAAACGTGCGATGAGAGTGTGGTGGAGATGAGATTGCCACCCTCCCAGGTGGCCTCTGTGAGCATCAGACATGAGGAATGCAATAAAAATCCAGAGCTGAAAGTGCACACTGTGAATGAAGTGAAGGCTCAAGATGAGAAAGGAAGAGCTGGGGCGTGGGGGGTAAATGCTGCCTTGAGACAGCCCCTGCAATAAATGGTGGGACAGAAAGATCCAGTCCCTCCGAGGCTGTCAGACCAGAGTCTTAACCCAACGGCACCAGGCTGTGAAATGCCTCTGGACATGGACGGATTTGGGCTAAGCTGTGAGGGGACAGAGGTGTTGCCATGTGTTTCCTGTTTACTGAATGTAGTCAGTCATAATCTTCTGTGTCTTCCACAACAGCAAGGCCTAAATGGAGATGGTCTGAGCCCTTCAGCAGTGCTGCCTCTAGGAGCGTCATCTCTACCTACACAAAGGGAGCAGATGTGTGTGCGTGTCCAGACCCCAATCTGTGCAGTGCCCGTCTCTCTTGCTTTTAGTGCACGTCACCCGGACAGAATCTCAGACTCTTGATCCTAATCTCTAACCAGCCAGGAAGGGAAAGGTACTGCCTTGACTCTCAAAACATCCAGAGAGGCATGTGGGAAGACTGATATTCTCTTACTCAATTTATTCCTAATAGCAAACCCCAAGCCATGACTAGAGCAAACTGGCTGCTCTTGGTGGATGTCTAGCTCCAATTCAACTGCAGCTGAATTTCTTAGATGGGGAAATCCAGCCTGGGTTTTGGAGGGAAGAACAGTTTCTTAGAACAGAAAGCAGCTGTTCAGCTTCAAAGGGAGAACAGAAATGCTGCTTTTTGTTTTCATTTTGTTTCATTGCTGGCTTCTAGCCACATGAGGGAGCTCCCGTGTTGAGGAGAGGAGAGGCAAGGCCTGGGAAGGAAACTGGTTTTAGGGGTTCAGACCATCGTTTGAACTGGAATCAGATATGCCCCTCTACAGAGAGGTGGGGGAGCAACCATTGGAATGGCTAGAACTAAAGTAGCTGCAAGAAAAGGGTAGGTTAAGGAAAGTGCAGCGTTATAGGAGCTCCGTTAGAACAAAGGAAAGAACTCAGTAAGTGAGCAAACATCAGGAGTGGAGTTTGTACTGTCTGCAAGAGCAGGGAGGGGAGCTAGAAACCACAAAACTTACTAAAAGTGTTCTTCTCATGGAGCATATGGAGGAAGGTGGCGGGGGTTGTTTCCAGATGGGGTTGACAAGTTATGACTGGCCCTACGTGATTTCCCTATCATTCAATGAATCCTGGGTTTATTCTGTGAACTGCAAGGCCTGTGACTGCGCTAACAAATTGCTGAAGCCCTTTGGGCTGTCGTTCTGCTCCATTTGGGTACCAAAATAGTTTCCCTTCAGACCAGAGGCTCCCTAAATGTTTTCCTTTGTCTGAGACACTGTGGTCATGAATGCAAAAGTGAATGTGATGGACAGACTGTAACCTGAGTGCTGCTGGCTCACATCTTTGGGGTGACTGCTCTAGTGCATGGGAAACATGAACTTTTCAGCTATGGTTGGCTGAAATACTCTCTTCTGTTTCCAGGTGGGCTTGAATCTAGAGGAGGGTTTCAAACCTAACTTTTTCCATCTTGGGGGGTTCTGCAGACTTGTAGAGCATACATAACCCTGATAGAGTCTCAGTATTGGGCTTCAGTCGAGCACTGTGGTTAGATGAGGATCCAGGCTGGAGTGGGATTAAGAAGAACCTGAGAGATTTCCCACAACAGATTGAGGCCTTCAGGTACAGCTCAAACAGCAGCTGTATCAGAGCAGACCTCATGAGCTGTTCTACCCCTGCAGGATAGCTATGCTGGATCTGCCCGTTGCTTTGACACAGCCACAAAACCATTAGGAATGATTACAAAAATTTATTTTCGATTATTAAAAAAAAAACCTAACCCTTTGCACATTCCCACATCCCTGTTTTTATTCATTTGGAAATGAAGGCACACCCTCCCAGCTATCTGGCTTGGCTGGTGATGCAAGGCTTAAATCCTAAAGCAGCGCAAAGCCCTGCTCTGGAGCTAGTCTGCTAGCTCTGTGCTGGCTCAGCCACCAGGGGGCCCCAAAGATCTTCTCCCTCCTGCAGGGAGAGGTTTTTTTAGGCCTTGCCCTGTGACAGAGAGGTGCCGAGTAGGGAGACTGGTTTAGGAAACACAGGAATGAGGAAGACACAGTGTCTGGTTGCTGAATGGGGGAGCTGGGAAGCTGCCTGCTCCCATCTTCTGATTGTAGTTAAACATCTACCTGAAGCCTCTGTGCTGAGGCAGATGGAAGTCCAGGCCCACAGTGTAGCCCTCAGCAAGGTCACTGGAGTTTGTGCATCCACCAGGAAGAGAGCAGAAGTTCCTAGGTGATGCCCAGAGCTCCTCTGAAGGACTGGGCTGGAGCTCCAGGGTGAGCTAGTGACATCAGCTATGAGGACTAGCATAAGCAGTGTTCCCTACCCACCCAGATAAGAATAAAATCTCCTGCTGTTGTCTGGACTCCATTAGCCCAGTCCAGCCCAGGCCTGGTGGCAGAGAGACACCCCAGATCTGGTTTTCCAAGTCTCAAGCCTGCTCCGGGATCCATCCCTGAGTAGCACTGGGAAACCCTTAAGATGTTCTCCTCCTGCAGGGGAGGAGCTCTGCAGGGTCAGCAGTTCTCTTTTGTCCTCTCCTTTCTGCAACTTGAAAGCAAGGGGAGTGCAAAAAGGGACAGCTTTCCTTCTGTAACAGACAGCATCAGGTGTCAGAAGAGGATGTCTCTAAGCACCAGCTGCATCCCACGTATTCAGGCTGTGGAGACACCAACAGGAGGGATGGTGCTGGGTCCTGCAAGCAAGGCCTGTCCTGTCCCTGAGGTTAGATTGCGCTGGATTTGCTGCGCCGAAGCAGGCAGACAGCAGTTACCAGTGCTGTCAGGGTGGCAACCACAAAGAGCAGGATAAGGGTGACCCAGTTGTTGTACAACATGCTTTTGTGGGAAGCAGGCTCCTCTGCCGAGATCATGTTGGTGAGGTTCAGCATGTAGCCCAGAGCCCAGCCGATGGAGGTTTCTCCTGCCTGTGGAAACAGCATGGCATGGTCACTGCCCTGGTCAACTAGCCTCAAGGGATCTTCCAGGGACCAGCTCATTGTCAGCCCAATGGAGGAGTATGGGGGAGTCAATTGCACCTGGAGCCCTCGCTCTCCCGGCAGCCCCAGTCAGCCCAGGATGAGGCAATGACCATCCCCTAGTGGGCCAGTGTCCATGCCTTGAGCTGGGCTCATTCAGTGGCAACAGTATCTTATCTGTTCATGTCAGTCCTGACCTTGCTGCCCATCCCATGGCTCATGCACATGCGAAGACTTGACAAAGGTGGGATCCTGCCCTAAAGTAACATCCCAACAAGCCCAAGCAAAGCAATGTTCAAAATGTCTGGTGTCCTGAGGGAATGTAGGATCTTCAAATTCCTTGCTTCATGACCACCCACCGTACAGTCTGCTTAACTCATTTTTTTTCCATCTCCCAGAAGATCCACACAAAAACTGGGGGTCTCATCCTGCCCCTGTCCCCTTAGATCTTCCCTCAACCATCACTTGGGCCTTTCTTGGTGTGGGAGTGTCTTTCCTGTGTTTTTTTTTTTTTTTTTTTGGCCTAATTCCAAATGGGTACTATAAATGGAACTATTCTCCTGTGTTACCTACCTTCTTCTGGAAGGCGATGTTGGGGAAGGAATGGTTGTTGAAGCTGTAGCCTTTGGTGGTGAGCAAATAAACAAACATGCTGATAGCACAGTAATCTGGCAGCCTCTTCTCCATTTTGGGGGCTTTCTGGAGCAGCTGGGTGGGATGCATGGGAGGGACAGAGAAAAGGGGTCAAGCCAGCAGAATCACAGAATGGTTGAGGTAGGAGAGGACCTCTGGAGATCATCTAGTCCAACCTCTCTGCTCAAGCAGGGTCACCTACAGCACGTTGCCCAGGACCCTGTCCAGATGGCTTTTGAATATCTCCAGAGAAGGAGACCCCCACAACCTCTCTGGACAACCTCTTCCAGTGCTCTGTCGCCCTCACAGGAAAAAGGGTTTTCTTGATGTTCAGACGGAACATCCTGTGTTTCTGTTTGTGTCTGTTGCCTCTGGTGCGTGGGCACCACTGAGAAGAGTATGCCCCCATCCTCTTTACAACCTCCCTTCAGATACTTATACACCTTGATTGGATCTGCCTGAGCCTTCTCTTCTCCAGGCTGAACAGGCCTGGCTCTCTCAGCCTTTCCTCATAAGAGAGATGTTCCAGTCCCTTAATCATCTTAGCAGCCAGTGAATGGACTTGCTCTAGTAGCTCCATGTCTGTCTCTTGTATTGGGAAGCCCCGAACTGGACACAATACTCCAGATGTGGCCTCACCAGGGCTGAGTAGAGGGGGAAGTAGAGGGCTTTTTTTCTGCTGCCTGAAGCTCTGGGTGATTGCAGCTTGCTGGCCAAGGCAGCAGGCCTGTCCCCATCTGAGCCTTACCTGGTCCCATGCGGGAGCTGTCAGCCACCCTCTTCCTACCTCATGGGAGGATGCCAGGACACCCAGCCCCCTCCGAGGGCTCAGAAAAGGGCTGCCATCAGAGCCTGGGTGATGACCCATGTAAACCAGCCTTTTTTCCCCTACCATGCCCAGGGATCCCACCTCACTCCAACTGGTGGCACAGATGGTCTCGGCAGCATCCTTCAGGTCGCTGGGCAAGCGCACAAGTCTCCCCATCACTGTCTGGATAAAGTCCACCGTGTAGAAGAAGGCAGAGAAGGCCTGATGGAGGAAAAAGAAACATCTGTAGGACAGGCTGGGGTGGGCAAAGAGAGCAGACCCTCTCACCATGCACAGCCACAGATCTGCTTGGTGTTGGTTGAACCACTGTGGACACAGTCAACTGTCCTTGCAGAGCAGGGGGCCCTGGCTTTGCCACCATGTGACGTCTGGGAGGCCAAGGCACCTCTGCCTGCCCCATGCTGAGCGGGGACTTACGATGAAGTTTCCTGAAACATCAGGCTGGAAAATGCCATCAAAGGAGCAGCGAGAGAAGGAGCAGGTGGTGAAGTCGAAGAGCTTGCTGACATAGAGAGCGCAGAGGCTCCCATTGCCAGTGCCGACCATGGTGACGGAAGTGCTGAGGGGAATGCCAGGCTTCTCCTTCTCTGTGCAGGGGGTGTCATAGATGCTGCTCAGTAACAGGTTTTTGTGGTAGCCCTTGGGCCAGCAGGGATTGGAGATGGTTGCTTGGTAGTTCCCAGCCTGCCAGGGAAGCAATGCAGAGGCTGTCTCAGTCCTGTTGTGACCCTGGCTCCCCCCGCTCCATGCATCCGCAGGAGGCAGTGCTACCTGCCTCCATTTCCCCACTGGGATGATGAGGACAAGCCCAGGTAGCAGCAAGTAGAGTTGCACAGGAGCAGGCCGCTGCCGCAAGCATCTCGAGGTGACATGGAGCGTCTTGGCTCAGGCCAAGGAGCAGAACACTTCACAAGGAAGGTGGGGGGAGGCCTCGGGACCATGAAAGAGGCTTAAGGGGAAAAGCCAAAGGGTTTACTGGGAAACATGTGTGCAGTGGGTCCAGTGGGACTGTCCTGGAGAGAACGAGGGTAGGAGAAACCTGCAGAGGAAGTATGAGGCCTGGAAATGCCAGAATCTGTCAATCATCCTCTCCCCACCCCAGCCCCCAAAATTGAAGCCAGGAGGGAATCACAGCTCCGAAGTGGGGTGTTTGGAAGGAGCTGGGGGTGCCTGGCCTCCCACTCATTATAAAGATTGGGGTGAGGGTGCACCTAGCAGGGCAATGAGGACTGGTATCCTGGGATGAGCACATCCTGGTACCTGCAGGAGCTTTGAGAGCAGCCTCCTGAGGACCTGGTCTCTTCCATAGCAGAGGAAGCTGTGGGTGTACACTTTGTATGCCTGGCCATACAGCTTCAGCATAACCTCGTTGTTGGGGTCTTCGATAGTGTCCGTGGTTTCAAAGGTGATCTGTGTGGAAGCGCCCCCGAGGTCCATGGCCCCCAGGGTCTTCTTCTTGGGCCGGATCCATTCCCCAAGCCAGCCACGCTGGGCAAGGAAGACAGAAGCAAAGTCATGGGGGCAGTTAGCTCTGGGATGGCCTCACCACTGCAGCTGGTTCAGCTACCCATAGCGTTCTCCTGCTCACCTTGATGAAGTTCTCCAGGAGATAGTTTGCTGTGACCCAGCCAAACACCCCTTCCTCTTCCCCCGACAGTATCTTTGCCCCACGGAAATCGAAGGGGTAGGACTTCAGCATGGCCGACACAGCGTTGAGGACAGCATCTGAGGCCTGGTGGTTTGTGATGCTGTGGGCCACACAAAAACACTCAGCAGGGCAAGAAGGCAGAGTTACACAGCTGTCCCCAGGCCTCCAAGAGCTGCACTCTGCACCCCACTGCCCCAACAGTCTTCTCCTGGGCCCCACCAAGGGACCCAGAGCAGAGGCTGGCTGCAGGCAGGTAAGTGCCTCCTCCCTCGGGTGTCCATAGGAAATGTCCACCCCAAAAGGCACAGCCAAGTAGAAAAGAATAGGTGGGTTATCCTGGTGCTGGCCCTGCCTGTCCTTCATTGCCTGCTTTTCAGCCAGCATCCAGGGGTGCAGAGGAACGTGCTGACCGTGTCCTGCAGAGCATCTCAGACAGCTTGGCCTTCCCTGGAGGAAGCCCCAGAGCAGCTAGGCTCAAAGCATCTCTGCAAGGGCAACAGACCCACTGCTTTAGGGCAGGGAGAAGGCAGGGAAGAGTTTTGTCTGACAAAGAGGGAACCTGGCAGTTTTCCTTCACCTTCTCCCCCTCCCTGTAATGGGCAACAGAACTGCAGGGTGGCATAGCAGGGCCCACGCCAGGGCCTTCCCAGGCAGCATTTGAGGCTATGTAGCTGGTGCCACCAGAGCAAAAACTCACTTGAGCAGGCGCATGCCAGCTGTGGCACCCAGGTAGAGCGGAGTGCTCACATGCTTCTCCGTGGGAACATCTCTCAGAGCCTGGTTCAGGCAATGGACTAAGCTTTGCCCAGCACTCGGAGGGTTGATGTTGTAGCTGGAGATACCTGGACCTGCAGACAAGGAAACAGCATTGTTCCCCTGCAGCCATGCACACAGTGGGAAGAGGCCCATTGAGCAGCATTGCCCCTGGCACCCTTGGGTGCCTGTGCCAGCTCAACCCCCTCCCAGGCTGTTTGAAGGGCAAGTACTGAGGCCTGGGTTTCTGCGACCATTCATATGGGCAAGGAGCCATCCTGATGGCCAGAGTTCAGCCACATCTCCTCACTCATGCCACATTCTCCATGAGCTGACAGCCCGGGAAAGCTTGACTGAACAGATAGTTGAAAAATATCCCTTGCTTTTTGCTGGGCTAGTTAGTAAGCCGTATTGGTTCTCAGGGGTGTGATGCCTACCAGGCATAAGACAAACTGCAGGCATGCAGAGTTGCAAGCCTGGGAAGAAACAGAGTTGGTTTTGGGAGCAGAGCATGGCATCTCACAGCAATTGGTGAAAATACAGTCTTAGCAGGCAAAACATTCACTGCAGACCCCGTGCCAGGCCAGCTGGGCCATGGCAGGGGCATTCGCGCTGTCATGGCAGCCCTGCCAGCAAGGGATGTGCCAGCTGTCACTGCTGGATGCAGGCCCCCAAGAGCTGGGATGCTCCTTACCTTCCACGTCACACATGCTGTGCTCGCTGACCACCCCGGTGTCATTCTCCTTGTTTGCAGGCCACTTGTAGATGAACATGGCTGTGTGGGAGGAACCAGCATCCAGCACAATGCCGTACTGCAGGCAAGGAGGGAGATGGTGAAGCCTGGAGGACCAGAGAGCCCCTCTGACAGCCCCAGACCAGCCATTTCAAGGGAGATTGTTGCAGCTAAAAGACCTGCTGGTTCCTGTCCTAAAAGCACGCTGGGTGCAAGTCTGAGCAGCAGCATCTTGCATAGCTCAAGCCTAGGCCTAGCAAGGTCTCAGTCCAAACCTGCCCTCTTGGGACCCATCTCCACCTTGCTCTCACCCTGCCTGGGACATGGCTGGGAGAAGGATCACCAGACACCCTGGGGCAGTGCTTGGCACAGCAAGGGGACTCTGACTTTTTGGGCCTGGAGACCCCCTTGCCTCCTTGACCACGGAGGCGGGAGGTGCTTTTCTTTCCATCGCTTGCTTCAGTGTCCCTCCTCACAGCATCCCTCCTTGCCAGCAGGTCCCTCTGGGCAAGCAGGTGAGAGAAGCACCTGTGAAAGGCCCCTCGGGGATGCAGCTCTCTGAAGATGGGCAGCCAGCCGCCTCATCACTCCCTGGCCATGTATGGCTCGTTGTTCTCCTGCTATAAATAACCCTACTCCCTCCTGCCAAACAAGGTTTCCAGAGCTCCCAGCGAGGAGCTGCCTCTGCACTGTACTTGGCTGCCTAGCCCCAGGGTGGCAGCCCCTGCCTGCACCCCTCCACCTCGCCTGTTAGCCAGCCCTTTCCAGCCCACAGGCACTGGGCCACCCCGCCCTGGTCCTTTCCATGTCCCAGCCAGAGCTGCTTGTCTGCTGAACAGGAGGCTGCTCTTTTTAAGAGCAAAACAAGGCATATTTCAGCTCAGCCCCAACTGAGCATCTCTCTGAGGTGAAACCACTTAAGACTTAAAACTGTCTTGAAAAATGATCTTTTCTGCATGCAACAAAGCCCTGCCAGAAGTCCATGGTCGACCCCCTTGGCTGGAGGCAAGCTGCTCCTCTCCCCCTAAGACTGCTCCACGCAGCCCCAAAGTGCACCCAGCATCCCCCCTGACACCCTGCCCATGGGTGACTGCACTGCTCCCTGCCCACACTGCCACTGTAAGAAATCCCTGGGCTGCACTGTAGGGCAACCTGGACTTCTAGGCAAACAGGGTACATCCCCTCCTTTGCCCTAATGAGGCTAATTAGCAATCAGCAGGGGTTTTGGCTGCAAGGTCTGCAGGCACCTGGAGCTGGGCTGGGGCATCCCTAGAAGACACATGGGACGTGCCAAAAAGCTGGGCCCTGCGCCATGGAAAGCCCCATCCGGGTGGGTAATCCCATGCAAGATGTAATTAGTACGCAACATAACAGGTTGAAAGTTTGCCCTGGCATCCCTAGGAGGTGCCTGTCCCCGACTGAGGCCTGCCATTATTTCAGGGATGCCCGCGGTATTTCAGGAGGCAGCCAGGACAGGCAATACTGCACTGAGCACCTCTGCAAAGCTGCTCAGGGCTTTGGGGACAGACCCCAGTGCCCCGTCCCATGGCTCAACCCCCAGGCTTTCTATCCACCCTGGGGCAAGGCAGCCCTCCGATGCGGCTGCCTCCATCGGGGTGGGCCAGATGTGTATCCTTGGCATGTCCCGGTCCCCATTGCTGCTGGGCGGACGGGTAGGTGTTTTCCTATGGACGCTGCCTTGCCGCTCAGGCTCTGTGGCACACTGGGCATCTCAAGAGAGGGGTCAAGTCCAGGTGCTGCCTGGCCTGGAGATCCCCTGATGGCATCCACTGTGCATGTGCCCAGCCCTGTAGCCACCACGTGTGTCCATGAGCCCTGCAGCCACCACACATACCCCAGCTCTGCAGCCACCATGCATGTGCCCACAAGCCCTGCAGCTGCTACACATGTACCCCCCCCCAGCCCCACAGCCACCACATATGTGCCCACAGCTGCTGCCGGCGG